TAGGGCTGAATTCACATTCAAGGGACCTCCACAAGCACAAAAACAACATTAATTCTCATCCCTCCTTATGGGACGTTGGATATTGTGGAATTTCCCAAACTTGTCTTGTTCCTCCCCAAAATTCTGATGAGAGCCTCAAATCTGGGTCCAGTTCTGAGCTTCTCATTTCAGAAAGGACAAGAAAATCAAGGAGACAGTAGCAGTAAATGGATAAATCACAGCAAGAATGCCCAACTGTTGCAGGGGGTTTACCAGAAAATAGCTGGGAGTTCCAGAACAAAATAGAACAAAAAGCCCCAACAAAACCAAACCAAAACAAATCTTTCACTGCCAAAAGCTGCNGTTTGGAGCTGGACCTCCAGATGTTGGGGAAAATCAAAGTGTGGGTTCATTCCCTTCTGCAAAGAGTGGGGTTGGAGCTGGACCTCCAGATGTTGAGGAAAATCAAAGTGTGGGTTCATTTCCTTCTGCAGAAGAGTGGGTTTGGATCTGAACCTCCAGATGCTGGAGAAAATCAAAGTGTGGGTTCATTCCCTTCTGCAAAGAGTCAGTTTGGAGCTGGACCTCCAGATGTTGGGGAAAATCCAAGTGTGGGTTCATTCCCTTCTGCAAAGAGTGGGGTTGGAGCTGGACCTCCAGATGTTGGGGAAAATCAAAGTGTGGATTCATTCCCTTCTGCACAAGAGTTTGGAGCTGGACCTCCAGGTGTTGGGGAAAATCAAAGTGCGGGTTAATTTTCTTCTGCAGAAGAGTGGGTTTGGATCTGAACCTCCAGATGTTGAGGAAAATCAAAGTGTGGCTTCATTTCCTTCTGCAAAAAGTGAGTTTGGAGCTGGACCTCCAGATGTTGGAGACCATGGGGTCACTGGGCAATCCAGCACAACCTCTGGTGGTCAGTCAGAAGGTCAGACCAGGCTGTGTCATGTACAGCCAGAGTGGACAGGTCACCAGGAAGCAGCTCCTCATCCCCTCCATGCCTCCTGATCACGGCATGCTAACTTTGGTTTAAAAAATCTTCAGAAATTGATTTCATTCAAATGTTCATCTCCCAACATGCACAAAACATGGGAAGAGCCAGCTCCAACCCAAAAGAAGCAGAAAGAAATGGCTGTGACAGAGAAATGACAAAAAATACAGGGGAACAGAGAGTGTCACCCATCCACTCCCCAACCCTGGACGTGTCCCTGAACTCTTGCAGCCGCCTGGGATAGTGGAAGATGAAGCCCATCAGATGAATTTTAAGGTCTTTCAACCCAAACTATTCCATGATTCTTTGCCCCTTTTTCAATAAAAGCCACCGAGCTCATTCAGCAACAGAAAATCAAAAATTTTGCCCTCTTGATGAGCTATTAATCAAGCCATTCTTTAAATGGTTTCTGATTAACCACTTAAGGCTATTAAATTTTTAAACAAAGCTCCATCATTCCATTAGCAATCATTTAAAGTGCTTAAGGAGGTGTTTGTGGATTAAAGGGTTTTAAAGGAAGCCTCTGAACACCGCTCCCAGCGCAGAGCCAAGCACAAAAAACGCTGTAAATTTCTAAATGCCAGCAAAAAATATCTGAGTTTTGTCATCAGAGGAGCAGATGCCACCTCACAACTCCCAACACGTGATTCATCTCACCCCCACAGCCCCTGCTCCCCTTCCCAGCTCAGGAAAAGATTTCAGAATTAATATTTCCATGCTGTTCCAACAACTGAGAGCAGAACTGGACACCAAAATCATCCTGGGTGTGCTTGGTGAGGAGGCAGCACCGCCACAGTTGTGGATTTCAGTGGGTTCAGCATCATCTCATCCTGCCATGGGATGGAGAATCCTGCAATTGAGCACCTGGAATTAGGGCTGAGAGATTCCCTAAGGAATCCCAGCAGTGTCCNTTTTTCCTCCTCTCTTCTTATTTTTTTTTTAATTTATTTATTTCTTTTAATGGGCACGGAGATGATGCAAATCAAATCCCAAACGAGAGCAGCAGCAGAGGGGAAGCAGCTTTGGTTTGCTTGCCTGAAAACACAAAATAATAACAATAATGATATATATATATAAATATATTTATAAAATTACAGCTCGCAGCCCAAATCGGTGATGGGAAGCAAAGCTGCCCTGACACCCTGACATTGCAAATCGTCCTTTGAGCAGCAGCAGTGTGAGGTTCCAGCTGCAGCCCCCAGGTGACCGACGGAACACGCCTACACCGGGACCGGGCTTGGTTCCTTTGGGATATCCCGGGGTGATTTGGGGTGCAGGTCCCGGGGAAATAGGGGATGGTTTGGGGAGCAGGGATCCTTTGGGATGCGGCTCTTTTGGGGTGCAGGTCCCGGGGCAGAATTTGGGGTTCATTTGGGGTGCAGATCCACGGGGAGAATTTGGGGTTCATTTGGGGTGCAAGTCCTGGGATGGAATTTGGGGTGCAGGTCCTAGGAGAGAATTTGGGGTGCACATCCCAGGGAAACAGGGGATGGTTTGAGGAGCAGGGATCCTTTGGGATGTGACTCCCTTGGGAGCTGGGGCTCATTTGGGGTGCAGGTTCCAGGGGAGAATCTGGGTTCAGGTTCTGGGAGAGAATTTGGGGTTCATTTGGGGCGCAGGTCCCAGAGGAGAATCTGGGGTTCAGGTTCTGGGAGAGAATATCAGGTTCGTTTGGGGTGCAGGTCGTGGGGGAGAAGGTCCCAGGAGAAAATTTGGGGTTGATTTAAGGTGCAGGTCCCGGGAGAGAATTTGGGGTTCAGATCCCGAGGGTTATGGGGCTGTTTGGGAACAGGGCACCTTTGGGATGTGGCTTCAGTAGGAAAATTTGGGGCTCATTTGGGGTGCAAGTCCCGGGAGAGAATGTGGGGTTGATTTGGGGTGCAAGTCTCAGGACGGAATTTGGGATTGATCTGGGGTGCAGGTCCCTGGAGAGAATTTGGGGTTCACATGGGGTGCAGGAAAGAATTTAGGATTGATTTGGGGTGCAGCTCCCCAGGGGAGAATTTGGGGAGCGGCTCCCGGGGGTGACGTGGCTCCTTTGGGATGCAGCTCCAGTAGGAGCTGGGGTTCACTGGGGGAGCAGCTCCCAGGGGAGAATTTGGGGTTCATTTGGGGTGCAGGTCCCAGCAGAGAATTTAGGATTGATTTGGGGTNCAGGGCTGCTGCAGGACTGCCCTGTGCATTCTGAGCGGGCTGGTCCCTCCAGGAGATGGATCAGCCCCTCCTGAGCCAGAGCCACGCTGGGAGAGGGACAGCAGAGCATCCCGAGGGGAAGGCATCCCTGCCCTCACCCCAATTCAGGAAGGAAATTCCCTTCTCCCAGCTCCTCCAGATCCCTTCCGCCCTCCTTAACCTCCTGCAATGCTTTACAAGGCCAAAAAGCGAAATAAAATAAAATAAAACAAATCCATGTGCCGCTAGTGCAATCCACTTTTGGGAGCACATTTCCAGGTCAATGACAGCCCCAGAGGTGAGCTGAGCTCTGGCAGCAGCAAGGAAAGCTCCTTCCCATTTTCCTGCTCTCTTGTTTGAAAAGGAAAGGAAGGATTTCTAATTTATGCAAGAGCTGAGAGGTGAGAGGATGTGCTTTGCTAATTCCAAAGCCTCCTTCCCGTGTTATTCCCAAATATTGTGACTGCCAGCTCGCATCTATCACGCGCATTTTGATGGGGTAAATAATGAAAGAGCCTACAAGCCTCTAATTTGATGCTGACTGCAATTCCCACTTCCAAAGACAGCAAGAAAACAGGAATAGAAACTAAACCAGTCAAAGAGAAACACGCCCTTCTCCTTTCTAACTTTAAGAACCTCAATATTAAGAGAAAAAAAATCAAAATAAAACTCTCAACACAGCTTCATATTTGCTCAAATAAGCATTTTTCAACATAAGTACCCAAACTGCTTCTAGGTGCAGGGCACAGGGGTCAGGGTAGGACAACACATTTTAATGATTTACAACCAACAAGCAAAACCCCCTCCCCAGCAGGAAAAATAACCGAGCACCTAATTGCAAAACAATATCTTAATTGTCAATTTGAATCTAGGTTTCCTCCTCAGATTTAAATCTGGCTTTTTTTTTTTTTTTTCCTTTTTCAAATTGCATTGATTTAACTCAATCAACCCTGCCCGAAGGCCATCTTTCCTGCATGCTCTGAGCATACCAAGCAAGTTTCAACCAATTAGATAAATCACTGAATCTCACAACTTCCTAGCAGCCACGGATCAAGCCATGCACAAGCCCTAATTATTCTTTTAAATCCCGAAAACTTCACAAAAATAAGCAGCTCAGGGGGGGAATTTCACCATATTTTATATTTTTTTTTTAACCTAGGGCACATGCTAGCCAGCTGAATTCTGCAGGAGACTTGCATGGTCATTGCAAATCCCATTTTTAAATCTGTTTATTATTCCCTGTGATGATGAGAATAACGCTGCTGCATGAGTTTTATTCATTTATTCATTTTTTTATGTCTCTGTGTGTGTGTACACCCACACCCACACTGCAGCCTCGAGGTGTTACACTCCAGCACGGCAAGGAAAAAGCAGGGAATGATGATGGGGAAAATGCTGAAAAATGGAAGTTTCTAGCACAAACAGCATGGCAGGGACCCCGGGGCACAGTCCCCCATCAGCAGCAGTGGAAATATGCTCCTGTGACACTGCACAGATTGTTCAGAGATTCCCATGACAGGCAGAGGATTAAAAAGCAATTCCCTGCCTCTCATATTTCACATGCAAAGCCGTGTCTGGGAAAGGCAGGCAGGGGAGAAGATGGATCTCCCCGAACTCAAAAATGTGGGTATTCCATTAAAAATAACCTTAAAACAACGGCAGCACCAAAGCAGGAACTACCCCATGAGGACAGACAGCGCCGCAAACCCGACCCAGCTTTGTATTCCCCAAAAAAAAACCCCGCAAATTCCAGGCAATCTGCAAATGATTTCCCTCTTCCCCACCCAAACATCCACTGCAAACTCCTACAATCGCCAGGCAGGCTCGCAGGGAAGGCATGGAAATAAAAACCATTCCTTACCTTTCACTTGAGTGTCGTATTCAGCTATGATCTCCTTATCCTTTTTGAATTTTGCTGGCGACGTCATGTTTCCTTGTCCAAAAAGCTGAATAACCTCGAAAGAGATCCACCAGAACACGAGAGACAGAAAAGGGAATTTTTTGCTCCTCTCAGCACGACGATGCCTTGGCTCGCTGCTCGTCCTTCCCTTC